CTTAAAACGAATCAAAATTTTATTAAAATCAAATTCGGAACATGAAGGGGCGGGGCATAGAGATAAGCGTAGTCGTCGAGTACGCTGGGTGGATGTAAATTCTGCATTTTCGAGCCGCATACGATCTGGTTTGATTATAAATTTAAAACATAAAGACATTAAAGCATTCTTAAATGACGCGTTTTTCTTGTTTAAGAACAGAATATTGAGAATTCTGAAAACTCATCCAACCATAAAGGTTAACGCTACTTTCTGTGGAGAATTTATTAAAGCCAAACCTAATTCAAACGAAACAATTTCAGAATTTAAATATTTCAATACAAAAAATGCAGGCATTGATGCAGGAACAGATCTTAAGTTCTGGTTTCAGGAGAACGTAGCTGATAAGATTAACAACAAACTGGAAGAGTTCCAAGAAAAAGATAGTGATTGGGCTTTAAACAAAATTATTAGTTTAGAAATAAATATTAATAAATTTGAAATAGGTTGCGGGGTCTCATCTTTTATCAAACTCCTCGAGGTAATTGCAAAGAAACATGCTTGCGTGAATGTTAAAAATTATGGTGATGACGCCTGCTTCGCTTGGTCTATTGTTTCGGCACTTTATCCAGTTGATAACCATGTAGATAGAGCATCATCATACCCTCATCCTTCAACTGTTCTGAATTTAGATGGAATTGATTTTCCGATGCAACTTTCGCAGATTACTAAATTTGAAAAAAACAACAACATATCTGTTAATGTTTATCAATTAAGTTATCCGGGAAGAAAAAATTTAATGTAGAACCTGTCCGGTTAACCACAAATAAGCACATACGTCACGTTAACCTGTTAATAGTTCAAAATGTTTATTTCGATGAACGTAAGGAGGAAAGTAGCAGCGAAGACGTAGAAATTAAGTATCATTTTTGTTGGATAAAAAATTTATCTAGGTTAGTTTCTTCTCAATTAAGTAAAAAAGCGCATGCTAAATACATTTGCGATATTTGCTTAAATTATTTTAGTACTGACACTGCAGATTGTTCTAAAATTAATAAATGTAAAATTACCTTTCCGGAGGAGAAATCTCTATCTTTCAAAAACCACAGATACAAGGAAAAGGTACCTTTCATTTTATATTGTGATTTTGAGTCCATGTTAGAACCTTTCACCGATCAGCAACGACATATGTCAACCAAAAAATATCAAAAGCATACCGCGATTAGTGCAGGTTTAAATTTCAAGTGTTCGTATGATGATTCTCTATCGTTTTACGCTAGCAATAGGGGCCTCGGCTGCATCGAATGGTTTACTGAGCAACTTGAAAACATAGCAAAAGTTATTGATGATAAATTGAAAACTGTAGTACCCATTAATATTTCACAGGAACAGTCATTACAGTTTCTTTCTGCAACACACTGTCACATTTGTGAGAAGCCATTTGAAGCAGGCACCAAAAAAGTAAGAGACCACTATCATTTTACTGGAACCTACCGGGGGCCTACACACGAAAGCTGCAATCTAAATTATAAAAATTCTTTCACCATACCTATAGTATTTTATAATCTGACCGGATATGATTCACATTTTTTGATTAGAGACTTGGCAAAAACCGGCAATATTACTTTGCTTCCCATCAATAAGGAAAAATACATTTCTTTTACAAAGTCAACATCAGATTCCCCGGTAAAGTTTTGTTTTATCGACTCCTTTAGGTTTATGGCATCATCACTAGATACTCTATCATCATATTTAAAGCCAAACGAGCATCAAAATTTATGTAATGAATTTAACATGTTAGATGTGGAATCATTTACTTTACTTACGAGAAAAGGAGTATTTCCTTATGACTACATAGACTGTGAGGAGAAATTAAACGAAACAGAACTGCCCGGCATTGATAAGTTTTATAATAAATTAAACGATAGTAACATATCCAATGATGATTATGAACATGCTAAGAGGGTCTGGGCTAAATTTAATATATCAACTTTAGGACAATATTCTGATTTATATATGAAAACGGACATTTTACTTTTGGCAGATGTCTTTGAAAATTTTAGACAAAAATGTTTGAATATTTATCAACTGGACCCAGCTAATTACTATACACTCCCCGGATATACGTGGGACTGTATGTTAAAATATACTAAAATCGAGCTGGATTATTTAAAAGACGTGGATATGTTGCTGTTTATGGATCGCGGCATCAGAGGCGGCGTTAGTCAATGCTGTAACCGCTATGCTGAAGCAAACAACAAGTTTATGTCTTCTTATGACTACTCAAAGCCATCAAAGTATTTAATGTACTTTGATGTAAATAACCTTTACGGTTGGGCTATGAGTCAATACCTTCCATATGGTGGGTTCGAGTGGGTAGATCCCAACATCGACGTAACGATGGTATCTGACACGTCGTCTGAAGGATACATCCTCGAAGTTGACTTGGAATATCCTGAACATCTACACGATGAGCATAAAGATTTACCTCTATGCCCGAACACCTCACACCTCCAAATTCAAAATTACCGAAACTTATGACAACCTTGTATCCAAAATCACGCTATATAATTCATTATCGTAATTTAAAGCAGGCTTTATCTCTTGGGGTTAAGCTCATCAAAATTCATCGCGTATTGAAATTTAAGCAAGCCGACTGGTTGAAGGCCTACATCGAGTTAAACACCAAACTCCGCGCCCAGTCTACCAACGAGTTTGAAAAAAATTTATATAAACTATTAATAAACGCTATTTTCGGTAAGACGATGGAGAACATAAGAAAGCATCGCATTATCAAGTTAAAGAATCATTGGGATGGGCACTGGGGTGCAAAACATTTTATAGCTAGCCCAAATTTCCATAGTAGCAAAATTTTTGGTGAAGACCTAGTAGCAATTGAATTAAACAAATCGGAAATTTGCTTCAACAAGCCCCTATATGTTGGCATGTGTATTTTGGACATTTCAAAAACTTGTGTGTACGACTTCCACTACAATTTCATGTTATCAAAATTAGGTGATGAGTGCAAATTGCTTTATACAGACACCGACAGTCTCATATATCAAGTAACCTGCGATAACGTTTACGATCTTTTAATTCAAAATTTACACAAATTTGATACTTCAGATTATGAGCCTAATAATAAATATAATATACCTTTAGTTAATAAAAAAGTACCAGGCTTAATGAAGGATGAATGCTGTGGGGCAATAATGACGCATTTTGTTGGGCTCCGTTCTAAAATGTACAGCATCTTAATAGACGGCAAATCTACTATTAAAAAATCTAAAGGGGTTAAAAAGAATATAGTTAAAAATTCCATCACATTTGACGACTACAAAAACTATTTAGATAATAAAACTGAACTGTATCGCAAACAGAAAACCATTCAGTCCACTTTACATAACGTTTTCTCAGTAGATCAAACAAAACTAGCTCTAAGTGCAGCTGATGATAAACGTTTTTTATTAAACGATAGCCATGACACATTTCCTTGGGGGTACTATTCAATAGATAGTATGTTGTAATTAACTGTAATATATTTAATACATTATAAATGAAATAAACTTTTTATTTTATATATGAGTCTTATTTGTTTTAACTGTGAACAAGAGTATACTTGTGTAATTTTACTAAAGTTAAATTTCTATTATATTATTGAAACTGGAAAACGTAACTGGAAACTGGAAAACTGGAAAAAGTAAAATCGAATATATGTTAATTAGCATATATATTTATTACTTATATCATACAGTATATTAGTTTGATAAACGTAAATATATCCACGAAGGGCATTACTTAATATGCTATCATTAGATACATCACAAAAAGAACTTATAATTTCATTTATATTTAAAGTAATTTGATTTGCTTTTATCCAACCAGCTACAAGATNATAAACTTTAACCTGATATATTATTTCCTTTAACAGCATTGCATCATTCTTATCTGGTATTGCATCATTCGAGGGCAATGACCTCCAAACAGCATTGCATCATTCTTATCCGGTATTGCATCATTCTAGACCATGCTCACGTCAAGGTCATCGACCTCTGATCGTCTGGGGTCAAGGTAATCGACCTCTGACAGTCTGGGGTTAAGGTCAAGTCAAGGTCGCCTGGGAACAAGGTCACGCCAAGGTCATTGACCTCTGGTCGTCTGGAGTCAAGGTCACGTCAAGGTGATGACCACTGGGCGTCTGGGGGGTCAAGGCCACGCCAAGGTCAAGTCAAGGTCATTGACCTCTGGTTGTCTGGGGTCAAGGACACGCCAAGGTCAAGTCGAGGTCATGACCCCTGGTCGTCTGGGTCAAGGTCACGTTAAGGTCATGACCCCTGGTCGTCTGGGTCGAGGTCACGCCAAGGACATGTCAAGGTCATTGACCTCTGGTCGTTTGGGGTCTAGGTCACGTCAAGGTCATGACAACTGGTCGCCTGGGGACAAGGTCACGCCAAGGTCACGTCAAGGACATGACCCCAGGTCGTCTGGGATCAAGGTCACGCCAAGTTCATGTCGAGGTCATCGACCTCTGGTCGTCTGGAGTCAAGGCCACGTCAATGTCATGACCTCTGGTCGTCTGGGGACAAGGTCATGTCAATGTCATGACCCCTGGTCGTCTGGGGTCAAGGCCACGTCAAGGTCATGTCAAGGTCATTGGCCTCTGGTCGTTTGGGGGCAAGGTCACGTCAAGGTCATGACAACTGGTCGCCTGGGGACAAGGTCACGCCAAGGTCACGTCAAGGACATGACCCCTGGTCGTCTGGGATCCAGGTCACGCCAAGGTCAAGTCAAGGTCATCGACCTCTGGCCGTCTGGGGTCAAGGCCACGTCAATGTCATGACCTCTGGTCGTCTGGGGACAAGGTCATGTCAAGGTCATGACCCCTGGTCGTCTGGGGTCAAGGCCACTTCAAGGTCATGTCAAGGTCATGACCCCTGACCGTCTGGGGTCAAGGTCATGTCAAGGTCATGACCCCTGGTCGTCTGGGGTCAAGGTCACGTCAAGGTCAAGGTCACCTCAATTTAAGACTTGTTCTCTAGTGATTCAGGCCTGTTTCCTACAGGTTCAGACATGTTTTCTACAGGTCCAGACTTGTTTTCTACTGGTTCAGACCTGTTTTCTACAGGTTCAGACTTGCTTTTTAGTATAAACTGTAACATGATATATTATTTCCTTTATAGTTGTAGTGTTAGCAAAAATTGTGGCCACGTAGCGTCTAGACAGCATGCGATAAGAATAACGAACGTTGGCCGGATGTAATAAGAGTCACGGACTGATGATATATATACACAGTGGAATAAAGTTATCATTTACCAGTCTACATCGATAGCTTGCAGAAGCAATTAGTCTCCAGCTAGTTCTTCAGTAGTTTATGTGCGTTTGTGTCCTTACACCGTCTACAGCAACAGCTTGTTATTATCTCTAGTGTCCCTTTACAAAATACAAGTAAGTTATTTCTTTTTGAACTAGTCAATTATTTACTAAACTCATCCTTTATTTATTTATTTATTTATATTTTCGCTCTTTTACACTTGATTTTTCTATTGTTGTAGTATGAATCTAAGTCAAATTAATGAGGTTTCCTCCATCCGCAGGAATCGAGTAATTAATCTACAGAATCTCCCTGCGGACCAGCCCATACCGATTTGTGGGATAAAAATAGTTAGCACTCGGTTTGGGAAGACGGTTCTTGTCGAGTTGGGTGAGAACGTAGTGTTTTTACCAAGGAGGTCTTTGCCGGCAATCCAAGAGAGTATGCCATTCGTAGGTAGAAAATGATAATTTACTACCATTTCCATTCCTTATAATTATAGCAGGACTGAAGGATCTAGCTGGACTTAATCCACACTGTATTTGAATGTCGACATTTGATATTAGTGGAAAAACATTATTAAGCAAGTAAATCTGCTCCCATTGTGCAGCTTCTTCATATTTAGCCAGAATATCATCGAGAGGCTTACTATAATTTTCTTCAACACCTAAATTAGCGGAAACTTCACTCATTTTGCATACAACCTGCTCGCTCGACGAACTAGCTCAAACCAAATGACGTTGGTGTTCTCGATCCAGCTGTTATGTTTCTTATCAAGCCCCAACCACTTCACGAAAACTTTCCCTCCTTTTCTCCTTAGTACCTTATCTACGAGATAGACGTCGGGACTGACGGTTTTCTGTAGCTCCTCAGTATAGAAGGCACCTCTTATAGGATTTCCCTGCATATCTTCCAAGAGGTATGTCGCTGGATTCGTTATTTTAACCGACGTAATTTTAAATAGTTCAGTCGTCCAATTAGGCGTGTAACCCTTATCAAAGACGTGTTTATTTTTGCTGATGCGCACGACGTCACCCACTTTGAATTTTTGCGGTCCGCTCATCTTAATATGACTGTAGGCAGACTTTAAAATTCTTTCTTCGTTGGACTTATTTACTTGAGACGGCTTGTATCCCGTGGTGCGATGTCGGGTTTCGTTGTAGGATTTCGTAATTTCTGGTAAAACATCTATCCATTTATACTAGTAGTTCCCAACCTTTTTTTGATCAGGGACCACTTTGATTTATTTGTTGTTGGCAGGGACCACTATGTACAAGAAAAATAAAGTGAACCAATCCGAAAATAAACTTTAATCAAAAACTCAACTTGCATTAACAATATCAATGTGATTTTTGAGCTTGCATCTTCTGCACAAGTTCGGTAATCCTAGGACTAATATTATTACTCAAAGCTACACGCAAATCATCACTTACTTTCAAGCGATTCCTGGCCTTGTTTTTAATTACCAACAAAGCAGAAAACCCTTGTTCACATAAATAAGTTGTTGAAAAAATCATTAGATAGCGCAAGGCGATTTCTCGAGTTTTGGTGTAAGAAATTGTTTTTTTACACCAAAATTTCTCAAGTGAATCACTTTCAAATGCGTCCTTACAGTTTCTGTCATTTTGAAGTTCAATGAGTTCTTCCTGGATTTCTTCTGTAACTTCACTAGCATCCATGCTAAAAGGGTTGCGAATCAGTTTTTGATCAACTTTAACTTCTGTTTCGGAGTATTCTGGGAAGTAACGATTGAATTCATCAATCAACATTTGTAGATGACTCTTAATGTTTTCTTGCATGTTTGCTCTATTGACGACATACTTTTGGTCCTCCACAAGTGCTTTTAATGTCGCAAACGCAGAATAATTGTTCTCCCCAATTTTGCCTAACCATAACTGAAGTTTGCAAATGAAGGCGCGAAGTTTATCTTCAAAGATAAATACATTTGCAACGTCTTCTAACTGTTTGTTTCCGGAACCTTGCAATTGTAAATTTAACTTATTTAAGTGTGTGAAAATATCAACAAGATAAGCCAAATTCATCAGAAATGTCGGATCAGAGAACTGCGTCAGCAACTCATTTATTTTTTTGTCAGCTAGAAAAATCTCAACCTCTGCCCTGAGTTCGTACAATCGTCCCAACATATTACCCTTCGATAGCCACCTAACTTCTGTGTGAAAAAGAAGCGCCTCATAGTCTGCGTCCATTTCAGAGCATAGTTTTTTAAAAAGGCGTGTATTTAAGGCGCTGCTTTTGATAACATTTACCACGTTTATGGCTAATTGCATTGTTTCCTTAAGGCATCCTGGGAGAGTCTTAGAAGCTAACGCCTGACGGTGTATGATACAATGCGTTGTTATTGCCTTAGGATTTTTCTGTTTTACTAGCGTCGCAAGACCGGAGCGTGATCCCAACATAGCTGGAGCGCCATCCGTACAGAAACCAACGAGTTTTTCCCAACTAATGGTATGTTTCTGAAAGTATTCCGATACTGTGTTCAAGACGTCAATACCTTTTGATGTTGTTTCCAGTTCTCGTGAAATCAATAATTCTTCTTTGATTATGTTGTCGTCTAAAAAACGGACAAACACAAGTAACTGACAACAATTAGAAATGTCAGTCGATTCATCACACTGCAAAGCGAAGCATGGTGAGTTTTTGATTTTTGAAACAAGTTGCTCCTCGATATCGTTTGACATTAGTTCAATTCGAGCTTTAATCGTGTTGTTCGATAAAGGTATTTCTTGTATTTTTTTCTTGGCCTCTAATCCCAAAACTTCTTCGACAGCTTTGATCAAACACGGTTTCACGAGTGTTTCTCCGATTGTATGCGGTTTTTTAGATTGCGCTATTAATTTTGAAATCTCAAACGATGCTACTAATATTTTCTCTGATGTCGCAAATCTCGTACCACTAGGCCCCAGTTTCATTTTTTTAAGGTTTTCTAATTTGCCTTCAAAAAATTGTGGCGGTCGATCAGAGAGATTAGAATGGACCGTTTCCAGGTGGCGTTTTAATTTCGCTGGCTTCAAGGCGTCGTTTGCAAGTACAGTTGCGCATATAACGCACTGTGGTTTAATTTCTCCGTTGCTTTCTATCCAGGTGAATCCGAATTTAATATAACTATTATCGTATTTTCTCTTAGGCGCCATGATCTGAAAATAGAATAGGAAAATAATCGAATACAAGCTATGCAAGAAAAACCGTAATTGTAGGTATTTATTACTTATAAGATTAAAAGTCTTTTCATTTTATAAATAATAATTATATGCTTTGCCTTAGGTACCGCCCAATTAATAAAAATAAACCAACATTGAAAAAAAAAACACGACTAACTCGATAGGTAGGTACGGTAGGTGAACTTGCGCCTATATCTCTTTTTGTGATATCGAAGTAGTTTATCAAGTAAGTAAAATTACTAGTACTTACCTATTTTAGTGTAAAATCAAAATAGAACAGCCAGTACTGATGCACTTCTGTATCTTCGCTAACTAAACTAAATAGAATCACTGATACCGTCAAGCTTGACAAATAACAGAGTACAACAACGTAGGTAATTAGAAATATTAGCTTGCGATTGACCGGCTCATGCGTGCGACAATACAATGACAATGTAAACAATTCCCCCTCCGGCGGACAGCGCCGCGTCTCCCGCGCCTCCCGCGCTCTCACCAGTCATGACGCGCGGTGATGTATCTCCCGCGAAATTTGAAAGCGTTCGCGGACCATATTTTGACTCCTGCGGACCACTGGTGGTCCGCGGACCACTGGTTGGGAACCACTGATTTATAGGTACCGTTTAGGCTAAAGTAATTATACAGCTTTGATTTCAAAGTTCTTATCACACGTTCGGCAATGGCGGCTTTTTTCACGCTGTACGTATTGTAATGATTAATATCATGCTTCTTGAGGAAGTGCTGGAATTTTTGGTTGAAGAATTCCGTACCCTGATCCGTTTGTAGATTTATACAGATTCTACCTTTGCTGTAAGCTAAAATGTCAGCAAAGGCAGTGGTTATCTCTTCACCAGTCTTTGTTTTNAATGCTGCAATACCAGATAAGAATGACGCAATGCTGTTTGGAGGTCATTGACCTCCCCTTATTGTGATTGAATTTTAAATTTACCACCAACTGGCCATGTGACGTCACTTCCATGCTAAAGAACTTGATGCTACTATAGCAATTTAACTCTGTATAAATGTTATAAAAAATTAGTAATAAATATATATATCAGTAGCACAGAGGTAAATTGTCGTATCTCCACATTTGACCAAGTTTTAGGTTACTTCATTATACCATACAGGAAACTTTTCTTTTTCGTGCGGTAAATGATCGTAAGTGTAAATACATTAGTTTAGCAGTTATGCGCGTTAGAAACTGTAGCATCTCCTGTATTCAAGGAAGTAAACGATAGTATCTCCTTGAGCGATAGTGCGCATGAATGAGATGGCTGGTTTGCATAATGGTACATAGTCGTATCTCCAATTATCGACATGTTCTGTGTTCTCCACTAGGTTTATTTACAACTGATCAATTTTAACGATGAATAGATCAAGGCAAATTGGGTGAGTAAAATTTTACAGAAAACTTACAATTAACTTTTAAAACTTAAAGACAATTCTCTCGACGAAAAACAGAAACAGGAAGTTCAGCACGATCACAGTGCTCACCTTAACGAAGCCGAAAGACGCTACCAAGAAAAAAAACATGACAAAGAAATGAGCAGAGCTATTGACAAAACAAAGGTAATAATGTTGGACTTGCAAAAATTCTTGCCAACTCTATATCTGTCAAATTGTCAAAGCTTCTACTTGTTGAAATTGTGGACACTAAATCTAACAATATACGATGCCACACAAAAGAAATCGTACTGTGTAACTTGGGACGAGTCAACAGCTCGAAGGGGGGGAAATGAAATAGCTTTGGCGCTGTTGAAATGGGCTAACAATGTAATTGTTAGAAGTGAAATAGAAGCTTCAATAATATGGTCCGATAATTGTCCGAGCCAAAACCGAAACATAATGATGTTAACAAATTATTTTTGGTTATTAAATGTATTCTTTTTCTTTGAAAACAGTTGCTCATAAATACCTTTTACGTGGGCATTCTCATATGGAAGCAGACCAAATTCATGGTTTAATTGAAAGAACAGTAAAAAAAGAACCCAGAATGTAAATTGTGACTCCTTCGAACTACTGGTGCAACAGTTTTCAGTATGGAAGTAGATGATTTTAAAATTTTGCAGCGTTGTACAACTCCAGGGGGGCACCATTTAAAAACAAAAAATAAAACACCGAAAAAGAAAATTTTCTTATATCCACAGTTGTTTGGCTTGGAGCACGTGCCCAATGGCCTTCCATTATTTATTATAAAACAAAATTTGAAGAAACTTTCAAACTGTAAATTTTGCCAGCTCTGTTAGACTCTCTTTCAAACTACCTGCTAACTTACCTTCTATACGAAATAGTCCAAAAGGAGCCAGCAAGAAGAAAAAGGACCACTTGATTACACTCCTTCAATGGGTTCCAAAAACCTTTCACAATTATTACCAATATATGCCTGTAGCAACAAAAGATGAGAATGATGATGATGATGAATGAACTTCATGTTGGTGTTTTTCTTTTTTTTTTGTAAAGTTAGAATGTAACGTTTTTTCTTTTGCATATATGAATTATATTTTGAGGTAGAAATATATTTTTCACAAATGACAAGTAGCCTGTTACTTGGTGTTGAGGTAAATAGTAGTCGTAAGTCCGCTAAATCATACTACAGGTATGAGATTCGAAAATTATATAAATGCCGCTTTGTCATTCAGATCGTATTTATACGGGGTTCAAAATTCTAACCTGCTGCTAATTTTTGCTGTTTTGCAATTCTTATGGTATTATGAAATTAAACTGTTTTCGTTAATTTCTCGAAATTTACTAAATTGGAGATACAACAGTTTACCTCTGTGCTACTGATATGTATATATATATATCTTTTCTTTCTTTTCCATATACCTATCGAGTCAGGTTGGCCGAGTGGTTAAGGCGCCTTGTTTAAGCCTTGGTTCCCTAACGGGAGCGTGGGTTCGAATCCCGCACCTGGCACTTTTTGCAAAATTGTAATTGAAGCTATTTTATTGAAACCAAACCTCCGGTTTCCAGTGCTCTACCACTGAGCTAAAGAGGCTCATGCTATGTTTGAATTGAATTTGAATTTTTAATTTTTGTTAACAGTACAATTATAAAGGAAATAATATATCAGGTTACAGTTTATACTAGAAAGCAAGTCTGAACCTGTAGGAAACAGGTCTGAACCAGTAGAAAATAAGTCTTAAATTGAGGTGACCTTGACCCTAGGTGACCGAATGATGCAAGACCAGATAAGAATGAGGCAATGCCAGTTTGTTGTTGATCTTGTCAGCTACTTGCTCCCGAAACCGTTTGAATTTACCGTAGTCCCGTTTAATCAAATGCTTATACGCATGCGTTGCAATTTCAGTATATATCTTATTTCTATTGTACATCTTCAGTTTTGAATTTACCGCCAATCTCCATCCTGACGAGATCTACTACGCAAGCACTTAAATTCTAATGTTACATGTTACATATATTTTATTTATTTTGTTGGTATTGAATTTTGATTTTACCGCCAATTCCGTTCATTGTAAGACATATGCCTTTCCTATTATTCATTTTTGGATTTTAAATCTCCCGCAAATTTCAATGGTTGCTCACGTGATCTCAGTTATCAAGTTGCAATTTTGCTAACACATATAAAGAAAATAATATATCAGCTTAATGTTTATGCTAGCGTAGCAGTATTAAAGGAAATGGACTATCAAGTTGCAATTTTTCTAACACTGCAATTATAAAAGAAATTAGGTTACAGTTAATGCTAGCGTGGCAGTATTGGAGATCATTGACCTCGAATGATGCAATACCGGATAAGAATGACGCAATGCTGTTAAAGGAAATAATATATCAGGTTAAAGTTTATGCTAGCGTGGCAGTATTGAAGGTCATTGACCTCGAATGATGCAATACCGGATAAGTATGACGCAATGCTATTTGGAGGTCATTGACCCCTCCCTTATCGTAACCATAGCCACGCCTCTTTGTCGCCATCTTGTTGTTAGCGACCTATCACCTGCCGCTACGTGCCGCACCCCGCACGCCGCCATCTTACCGCCGCTATCTTCCCGCTACAGCCATCTTGCCCCGCCTCCTCCTACCAGCGACATCTATAAAATCCTGGCGGCAGAATTCCGAACTAACCCTCTGGTCATTGACCAACTCTTCAGCAACCCGCCTCGCTCCATGTAGGCCGCCGCCATCTTATCGCTAACGACCAATCAACTTCCTTGCAGACCGCCGCCATCTTCTTGTTAGCGACCTATCACCTGCCCTCAGCCTCCACAGGTAGCCGCCCCCGTGCCGCTATGACACTTCTTGCAGCTCGATGGCCATGTGACGTCACTTCCATGCCGCCATGACACTTCTTGCAGCTTGATGGCCATGTGACGTCACTTCCATGCCGCCATGACACTTCTTGCTAGCGACCTGCCCTCAGCCTCCTCAGGTAGCCACCCCCGTGCCGCCATGACACTTCTTGCATGCCAACACCCACGCATCTCTTGCACAACGACAATGCCCACAAGAAGCCGCTGAAGGAGCGCGCCGAACTCGATGGACGCTGGCCATCGAGTTCGTGACGTCACTTCCTGTTCCAGAAACCGCCTCATATATCTACTATTATCAATTATTATTTATTTAATTAAAAATATGTTATTATGACAAACGTTAGATTAGTGACCAAAATTTACCAACTGAATCAGAATACTACAAATGGCGGGTTTGTGTAGATTTGAAGGTGATATGTGATAATTGGCTACTAGGAGGATTTAAAAATGTTTATAAAACAACATTTTGTAAGAAAAAGATTGGTCTCAAAGAATTTCTTTTGAATCAGACACTTTTAGTGTGCAAAATATTCTTCTTGTTGAACCACAAAACGTCCTTCTCCCTACCTTTCACATTAAATTAAAAATGAAACTGACTGACTGAAAAACTCAATAAAGGTTTTGGACAAAAAAGTGGTAGCTTCAGAGGCTATAAACAGTATTTCCTTAATCAAGTGTTGCAAAAATGAAATAGGATATCTTGGA